GTTCTGAGTTAACAGAAGCACAAACTAACAGCTGCAGGACCTCATCACCAGTTCTCTGGTAACACAACTTGCAAGGCAACGGAGAGCCGGTGCAATCCCTGCTGCCCTCTCAGAAGCCTGGCAGCCTGGCCGGCTGCTGCTTGGAGGTCACGAGGAGATTATCGCCCCTTTTTGGCCCCGACCAAAATGTTCTGGTTTCCTGCACTTGGCAAAGCAGGTTTTGTTCCAAATGGGACACCCGTCGGCTACAGCAGTGCACACTTCATTGCTCGTTCAGCAGCAGCAACTCTCACCATGATTTCTTCAGTACCTGGCTGAAGCTGACGGTCGTTCTCCCAACCATAATTTCCATCGGCACGGTATCTTCTTCTAGATTTGGTTACTGCAACGCTCTCCATTTTGCTGCAGAATTGGTTGTGTGAGTGAGAGACCCTCTCCGTGAACATAAAGGAGCACAGAGGCACAACGACAGGAGGGGGAACCCCAATAACAGCATCAGAGAAATGGAGCACCCTGACCTGGCTGCTCTCTGGGTTACCACGAGAGCGCTTCATTTCAAAACGTTTCAAAGCAGGTAGTACGACAGAAATGACTACAGAATTTTCATGTGAGAAAAATGCATTCCAGTTTTTCTGTAAGACATCTCACTGACCATTTTTCAACAAGTACGTGCAGAAGGACCGAGCTGGTTTTTCTCAAGTTCTCATGCCAATATGCCCTTTGCTATGTGAAAATTCAGCATGTAAGGACCCATTTACCACATCACCTAACATCTAAGCTGAGAAACCATGGGTAATTGCTATTCTTCCTCCTACTGTAAGTTATTACAAGTTCTGCTTATTGAAAAGAAAGCTGGAAGTACTCTAGTAAGAACATCTATATTTATTTCTGTGATCAAGCATTTATAGTCCGAAAGTACCGAAGATGAGAACTTTTATCCTATCAGGATAATCAGCCGTTTCTTTGTAAGGTCTAGTGCCTTCTCCCCAGGTGGCTGGCTCG